ATGCTCGCAAAGAGAAAGTGCCATGCAATCAATCAATCAATAAACCAACCAATCTAACCAATGAATCAATCAATCAATAATGCAAGTGTCCGGTCCATATGTTTAATAGGTGATGAGGGATCTCCCTTTGTTTTTCGCTTGTTCCTAGAGGCTCGTTACAATGTGTTTATTCGGTCAACCTACCAGCCAACCAACAACCGACCAATCAATCAATCAATCAATCATGTTTTGGAGGGGAAAGACCGTTTACATTTTTTTTTGGCAAACAATTGATTTATATTTGTCCATGAAATGTTTTGATTTAAGGTTAACGGGTTATTTCTTCAACTTGGTACATGATAAAGCCAAATGTTCTTTTGCAAAATGTTGGGTCTTATATGATCTTGAAAAATCTCAACCAGATGTGACCCGGAGTAAACCGGAAGTAGCCAATTTTTGCACTTATTTCATTGAAATGTACATATAAACTGTATATTTGTTTAAAGAGGCATATATAAACCTATCATTTGAGACCGAATTGACCGTTAATAAAACGGAAGTGAATAATTATATCACTTATTAAAGACAAAAGTAAAAAAGAACTATATTTTTTTGAAATCAGTGTAAATAACGTTATCATATGAGACCGGAAGTGACATTTTCTGAACCGGATGTAGCAAATTATATCCTTTTTCAGAGAAAAGTATATAGAAACCATATATTGATTGAATCAGTATAAAGAAATCTATGATTGGATGCCAATAGTATGTAACTTCGAGTACATCAGAAGTAGCTTCTCATCAATTATTTATAAAAATGATGTGGAAGGACTTCAATTGTTCTCTGAAAAATTGGTTTTTAATTATTATTATTTTTTTCTTCTTTGGCCAAACGCTTTCTTTAGATATTAAGTGGTTCCGCAAGATGCCGCTTAGATGTTTTGAATATCATATCGAACAGTTACTACGCTTGACACTCACCCTTTTTAGCAGAAGACGTTGTATTGTAAGAGTTATCTCCCTTATCACTAATTTTCTTGTGAGTGCATATTCTATGTAACCAAAAGAGATAACGACAAAATTATTTTTCTTATTTGTTCGTTACACTCTCAGGAATTTTTTGCTGATTTGGATTGAAGCGATCCGATGGCATCTTATAAGAGTAATCTACCTTTACCAAATAAATTTGTCGTTATGCTTTTGTAACTCATATACCGTGAGCCGTATAAACCTAGAGTCATTTAATTTGAGGTCCTTGTTTCCTAACTTAGAAAATAAGGTTTAGGTTAAAGGTCAAGATCATCTTCTCAATTTTGACTAATGCTTGTTTTTTGCATTTCCTTTTAAGGATGTATTCTTCTGACGTTTCAGTCTCGTTGAAATCTTGTTCTGGAATTATTTCCAAAACATGTGATACAAGTGGAAAATAGCAATGAATTTAATAAATATCATGATCAAACTGAACTCTGTGAAAACATTGTGTATTAACATCGGTAGGTTTTTAGTAATTAATTTTTCAAATTTTATTACCAATCAAGCCCGTCTTTTTAGCCATATTTTTGAGAAAATGGGTGAGGGGTACAATAAATGATTTTACCAGAAACATTTACATCCCATATTACTTTTTTCTATTCAAATTTCTGAGATATGTATTTTTTCAATCATTTATAACAAAGAATTTGAAATAATATGCATTTTGTTCTTAAAACAGAGAAAAATCATAAATTTACAAAATTGACAGCATGGTAAATTTGACACGATAAAACATTAAAATATGATAAAACTTTCTTATATTAACACCTACCTATAGTTTATACTTAAAGTTATTCAGATTAGTCCACTTCATCTTTATTAAAAGTATGAACAAACGTTTAATTGTAGAACTGTGATTTTTTTCACGATAATAGCCCAACAACTGATGAAAAATGGGGAAATCATCAAAATTGGGTACTTTCAAAGGGCCGTAGCAAAAAAAGAAGTGCACCACCATATGATTTTTTCTTCGCCAATTATTTGTTCACAGTCATATAAACCCAAAAATCAGGTTAAGAAAAAAAGTTTAATTCTAGAAATGTTTGGCTCCTCAGAGGTGTACATCCTTAAAGATATATATAAAAGAACTAGTGCAAAATGTTTGCTTGTGATGAAGATATGATACATTTGATATGAAACAATCCAATGACATCTTATGGGAGTTTTTGACCCTGAAATGTTTAAATATAAGTTTAATTCTTTATCACTTCAACTTGGTTTTTAATAAAGCCATAGGGTCTTTTGTAAAATATTTGGTTACATATGACCTTGAAAAATGTCAACCGGAAGTGACCTTGAGTAAACCGGGAGTAGCCATTTTTGAACTTTTTATTCATGAAAAAGTTCCTAGAAACCATGGGCATACATAACCTTTCATTTGAGACCAGAAGGGACCTTAAAAAAATCCGAAGAAGCTTAATATCTCTCTTGATATATAGAAACCGTATGTATTAGGAATCAGTGTAAATACAGCTATCATATGAGACCAGAAGTGACATATTTTTAAACCGGAAATTGCAAATTATCTCCTTTTTCAGGTAAAGCTATATAAACGACATATATTTTTTGAACCTGTGTGAATAAAGCTATCATATGAGACCAGAAGTGAATTTTCTAAACCGGATTTAGCTTATTATCTTCCTTATTTCAGACAAAAGTATATAGAAACCATATATTTTTTAATCAGTATGAAGAAACCTATCATTGGACTCCTATAATCATGATAGTTACTTTGAGTAAAACGGAAGTAGCTTCTTATCAATTACTTAGAAAATTGATGTGAAAAGACCCTCAATTGTTTTCAGAACAATTGGGTTTTATTCTATTCTATTCTTTTCTTCCACCAAAGTTTGATCTTGCGTCAAATAATTGTTTCGCAACATGTCGCTTAGATATTTTTAATATTGTATCGCACAGTGTATGCGCTTTTAAATTTAACCCTGCACAACTAAACAATTTTCTGTGTAAGAGTTACATCCCCGTACACAGTTTATCTTGTGTGTGCATCTCCTCTGTAACCAAAAAAGACATCGACAAAATTCTTTTTCTTAATTGTTCATTATCTCTTCATTGAGCTTTAGTCAATTGGAGCGAAGCAATCCGGTGACATTTTACAGGAGTTATATACCCGTCACCATCTAATTTATCGGTGTCTCAGTGAAACGCATAATCCGTAAGCCGTAAAGACCTAAGATATTTTGATTTGAGATCCATGAGTCATAACTTGGAAAATCAGGTCAAGGTCAAATGTCAAGGTCATATTCTAAATTTTGCCCTTTGTCAGTGTGTGCACCTCATCTCCAACTATGAAAGCTACATACAAAAGAACTGATGCAACATTTTGGGGCTTTTGTTATATGAGTTATTGACGCTGAAAATTTACAGAAAGGTCCATAGCAACGTTGTATTTTTTAGATCAGTATCAAATGTCCTTTCATATTACACCGGAAAAGTAATTTTCTAAACCGGAAGTAGCTAATGATGTCCCATATTTCAAGTTAAAGTACATGAAACCATTTTTTTTTGGGAATCAGTATTAAGTTACCTGTTTTATCATACTTTTAGAGTTTACTTTTAACACTTTTTTGTCAACTTTCTTATCAAAACACTAATATCATCATGATGTGGAAAGACCTTCAATTGTTCTATGAACAAGTGTTGTTTAATTGTTATTTACATCATTTTCATAATTAATTTTCAAGTTTTTTGTAATTGTTTTAAATTCAAACATTAAATCTGAGCAAGAAAAACGATTGTATCTGTAAGCATCAATGTAAGGCTTAACATGATAAAGTATTTTATGAAATTTAGAATATATAAATTTAGTGCTAACAAGTCAGTTGTCACGAAATTGGCATAGAAAATAACATTGTTCTACCTAAAATTATGTTGTACGTACTTTTAAATTTCAAAATGTTTTGTATAACAATAGTTCATGCATGATATATTTGACCAATCATGTAAATATGAATTTAGAGAAAAGGTTATAATAAGGATGTTAACTTTTAATATGTTATGATCAGGATGTTAACATTGAAAACGTAATAATCAGCGTGAATCGGAATTCAAATACACATGTAATAGGCAATAAACAGATGTAGACAAAACAGCTTTTTGCCTGGAAGGAAGAATTTCATACTGTCGTGGGCAATTCAGAAGATTTTATAATGATTTTCACAAACGTTAACTTTCTCTTTATCATAAACATAAGTTAGAAAAGAAGAAATTTGAACCCACATGATGTTATTTCATTGTTAAATTTATTAAAAGAAATGCAGCTTTTACGAGTTATTTGAGCATGTTGAGTATTTATTTATCAACTTAAACATGTGTAAAAACTGTAAATAATTCTTATATTCAAAATGTAATCAGTAAAAAGTTTTAACACTACTTCCAAACAAAAAAATGTTCATAGCTATTTTAGCTTGAACATGCAAAAGGCAAAGTTTCGTAAGGACGCTGATTCTAATTGTGCTTCAGATAAGTTTATCTATTCATAACACAAAATCCCTACACGCACTGCATACGCATGTATTGCTGGTTTGTGTTTCTTTAATCTTATTTTCTTCAAACAATTTCTTTATATCTATCATTTGACAAAAAACAATTTTCTTATGTTAATTGACAAAGATTCATCACATTTTGAGTTTTAGGAGTACATTGGCATTGATTTAAGAAATGAATTAGAAAAAGATATGATGTAATGCTCAATTTGACGATAACAGTACACACCTCAGAAAAGACTACTGTAATGAAAAGACACACCATCTTTAATCCTAAAGAATTTACACAACCTACAAAGATCAATATTAAAAGATACATGTACTAAAAATTAGATAGTTAATAACTACTATGTCATTTGGTCTCTGGTGGAGAGTTGTCTCATTGGCAATTATACCACATCTTCTTATTGTTATACCAAAAACTATGTGTCATGTCATTTTCATTAACCTTAAAATGTTTATACAGCGTTTAATTATTTCCTTTCAGAATGGAATTGAGACTGAAAACGAGGAATGTGTCAAAGAACAACCGGAACAAAGACAGATGCAAACATACGGAGGGATTAAGCATGTTTTGTGAGATCTCAACCCTCCACCTATACCTCTAGCCAATGTTGAATAAATAAACACACAGCAATATGCACAGTAAAACTCTGTTTGAAAGAAGTTCGAGTCCGATGTTAGAATAGGTAACGGAGGAAACTAAGCATAATGAAAATGATCAACATCAATTAAAAAAGGTTTACTAGCATTTACTGACATGCTAGCTTCAGACCTATATTAAACTAATCGAAAGATTATGTCTTGTTGCTGTTATTGGTTTTGGTAGACGGCTTACTTATAATTGCGCCTTAAATTCATATAACATAAATTTTGTGTATATACACTCATTCCTGAATGTATTTTTAGTATCACATTTTGGCGAGTAATTATACGAAACTTTGACGAACAGGGTTGACAATAAAGTATACATATTTTATAAAAACAAATTGATATTAAAAAAGACACAAAAAAAAAAAAAAAAAACACAAAAAAAACAAAATTGAAAGGAAAAATGAAAAAAGCAAAAAAATGAAAAAAATGATAGTTTTTAATGAAATGTAAATTAATAATTGAAAGGTATCATACTATTATTATAGAAAAATCAGGTTGTGCACCTTTGTGTCATCTGTGATATACTTATAAAGCTAAAGTAAATATTGATAAAAAGTAAGAATAAAGGTTCCCTTTTTGAATGATAACTCGCCGAAATCCTACTGTTTATTTTGAATGTTTATACTATACCTTGGTAAATGTTTTGCACTTGTTTTCAAGTAGTCCAGCCGGCCGGGAGGAACAATAAAAATTCCCATTTTTTCTTTCGATGTCTTCATCATACATGTATGGAAATCATGCAGAATACCTCTCTTCACGTGTTCATTATAATGCCATCATAAATTATACGAGAAGAACATAACCCGTATCATTCTAACAACTGGTTTAAGAATACATGTGTTTATTTCAGATGCACAGACCCTACGAGTGAATCAACATTAATGTCAAAAAATGCCATATTTAATGCCTTTACAACAGTATCGTAACTATATCCTTTGTGAATAAGTCTGTTTAAATGTTTTTAGCTTTTGCGGTATATGACAACATGTTTGTGCTTTGTATATAGAATCATGTGCAAAACAGTGTAGCCGAGACCATTGATTGGCGCGCTAAAATATCCCATTGACTGGGTCAGATTAGGTGAACGTTCGTCTGTAACGCCCACAACTCACGACGTATTTATTATAGACATTTAAACTGTGGGGTAACCAAAGGGTCTCAACGCCTAAATAAAATAATTCGAAAAACTAATCAGGAATAACCTTTGTGTTTTGATTTAAATTGAATACTTAAACGTTCTTTACTTGTGTTTTTGTTATGTTTTGATAATCAATTTTTATGATATCGGACGTTCTTTCAGCAAAAAAGGATTTAACTGGCTTTAAAAGTTACAATGGATGTGTTGATTATTATCTTTTTTTCGGACGTTAAAGCGATTTAACAATTGCGGTTGTCCAATTATGTCATCTTTTAACTTTTATCTGGTCAAAATTTTATTTTAGAACGAATGCATGATCAACTTTAAAAAGTGTGCAAACACAAAACATATAGACAAAATATACTTCTTTCCTGTCTTTTTCGTACTTGCAAGTTATTAGACAGTAAAAAGGCTATTTGGATCAAGCCTTGTGAAATTTGCATTTACGTTTTTGAATAGGTACACTGAAATGCAGTCAAGTTTAGCGATTGATAATTCATTGATAACATTCTGGCGTATCACAAACAAACAACTTGTAACGTCTCATTTCATTGGCCGAAAGATTTAAATACAACAACAATTGTAGTGTGCACGTCAATTGACACAGGTGACCGACAATGGAATGTACTACGTTACTACGAACGTAAAAAACAATGATTTTTGGTCGAAATAATTAAATAAGTATTTTGTGAATTTCAAAAAGTGGGGTCGAAATATTATACTAATAATTTGTGTTAAGTAATATTCTTTATGCATGCAGCACTTGTACCGCGCTATGAAAAATATAAGGATAAAATAAAATACATGTGCCGCTTTTATACGGATGAATGTATGAACCACTTTAATTTCTTTCATATTGACGCTAGGTTATTATCCTGACAATGTCGTAGTTACTTATAATAAGGATCTCATAATACTGATCCATTTCAAATTTATGATGGGTTGCGCATTCCTCTTTTATTGTTTTCATGCTATAAAACGAAAATAAAGTAGCTAAGCGTTTGGTCATTCAGAAATGACGTGTCATAAACGAGCAACCTGTCCCCGAACGATCGTATCATGTGTGTACGTGAATATAGATGTACTATGCAATGTACTATCATGGTCACCACGAAATTCAAATGAATTCAGTGAAGGCATGTTGGTGTAAAAAGGTTTGAAATGTTTCATCGGCGAAGATTTTATTTTTGCATGTGTGGAACTAAAAAATAAATAAATACTTGTGAGAAATGTCGTAGTTTATATGGAACTATATAAATGTACTGTTGTCGATTTTAATTGGTTGAAAATTTATCCTTTAGTTTCATACCGTAAGAATAGAGCTTTGCATAACATTGTTGAACTATCCGCCAAAGTAACGTGTGACATGCGTGCGTATTAAAATGAAATACAAAATCATACATGTACGATAAACTTATAAACGAAATATTAAAAAATTAAGGATGACTACTGTAAAAGTATGTACAAAAATGGAGTCACCTTTTATCAATACATTTAGTGAATAACCACACTGTTTAAAACTGATTGTTTTCTATGCAACTGTTTAAATATTTACAATATATAATTTTCAACCGAGGATAGCAAAACAGTTAATTATAAATTAAGAAAGTATATCGCTGGAGTTTATAAAGTACATTTCCTTCCACCGTGCCATGGTTTGCCATCTTCATTTTTTCTCTATAAAACAAAGCATGGCTGAATGTTCTGAATTTACTTAGAATTTCGGGATTTCTTTTTCAAAATCAAGTAAACTAAATCAGAAAAAAAAATCACACTATCCTAAAATTATGAAAGAATATGAATAATGAACAGTTTATAACACAAACCCATTTACTATAAAAATCGAGCAATATCTTTAGTGTATAATTTGGTTATTTTTGTAGTTAAGTACGGTTTCATTTCAAGTACAACGTTAATTCATCAAGTAGATTGAATAAAAGATAAGGCAGGGTGAGCAACTTGACAAAAAAAGGCAGGATGACGATTTATGTAAAAAAATCAGGATAAACTAATAAATATAGTCAGGACCTAACAGACTGAAAAATAGAAAGACAGGACAGAGATAACAACTAAAAAAAATGCAGGACAAAATGTTTCATCCAAGTCCCCCACCCCCAATCAAAATAAAATAGTAGCTCCCTTAATCCAGAACCAATTGAGAGGAGACAGTTGAATTAAATATTTCGACGTGACTGTTCAGATTATAGTTTAAAATTTTACATGCACATGTATAAAAGCTAGAATTGCCATGGGATAATCAAGAACACAATCATGTACGTGAATACGACGATGGAAGTTTTTAACGACCTTGACCGGCTACGTGAATACTGATCAGTCCATTCAGCTTTATAGTACGCGTGTTCTATTTTCGCAGGTGTGAGGTCGAAGGTTTGAAATTGAATTGACCAATGAAAACGATCGTTCCTTAACGAGTTAATCTAATAAAGTTTGTTTGACTGATTATGTTGCACGACCTTTCGCTAAGCTTGGCCGCAGTTCAGTATAACATGTATAGTTTGATGATCTTTTCTGCTAACTACTATACTTGTGAAAAACCCTTGGCAACAGAAACATATTCAGCTTTTTTTTTAATCGACCCAATTTACATAGTAATGGACGACTTCGTACATTTTATGATCGCAAATAAAATATGTATATAATATACTGTGCACTGTAGTTCGTATATATACTGAGACCCTTTGGCAACCCCACAGTTTAAATGTTTATAATAAATACGTCGTGAGTTGTGGGCGTTACATACGAACGTTCACCTAATCTGACCCAGTCAATGGGATATTTTAGCGCGCCAATCAAAGGTCTCGGCTACACTGTTTTGCACATGATTCTAATATTACCATATAAGATGGGTTGTGAAATACCGGAATGTATGAGATGTGACTTGTCTGTACTTTGTTTTATATGTACGAATGATATCCTTGTACCGATGATCAAACTAAGTAAAAGTTTTAAAAGTATGTGATATCAAAAACTCTTATGCAATAATTTTTCAGTAATACAGATTTTTTCCGTTATAATCAAATACGTTGTTACATATACATGCGAATCGAACAAGTTGAGATATATAAATACCATACGATGATGGTAAGGAAACGTCACCATCTACAAATGGATAATGAACAATAGGAAATGAAAAATCCTCTATTGTATTGTAAATTTTAGTATTAAGCTCCCGTTTAAGATATAGATATCAAGATCCAGGAACGGACAGTGTTCATTGTTAGTATTAACTTTATTTAAAGTAAGTTCAGCAGGATAAATCTTTTTCGTGTACATACTGAAGTCGTCATTATTGAGAGCCAAAATATCATCCAAATATCTAAAAGTATTATTACATGTTTGTATCAGATGTTGTTTCGATCGGTCTTTGCTGATTTTAGACATAAGATGTGATTCGTAACAACACAGAAACAGGTCCGCAATAAGTGGTGCAAAGTTAGTCCCCATTGGACTTCGGATAACTTGACGATATACTGAATCTCTAAATCGATCAAAAACGTTATCTTTTAATATTCCAAGAACAGTTTTCATATTTAAGCAGGCCCAAATGACATAGTTCGTTGATACTAAAACAAAATACCTGAAAGAGTGTGGAATTATATATTCACATTGTGACGTTTTGAATGCCTATTTGATTAGGTACGTGAACTTATTTTAATAGATATTATGAGGATGAGGCAAAGTGGTATATAGGGTAGAACATCAAAACTTTGAACAGATCCGAAAGCATCAAAATGAGCATGCAACTTATGAAGCACTTCAAAAGTAATTAATTCCACTATTATCGTAGCCCTTATTTAAAAAAAAATATTACCAAATTTTTTGTACTAAGTGTACTAGTCAGCAGAACAGATAGTTTGGTAGCGGAACAATGGCTTGAAGACGAAATCAATCTATATTTGTAACGTGTGTTGTGCTGCTCCTGAAGCCAGTACAGTCATGATATTCGATTCTGCTTGGAGTATGGAGTGAGTCGTGGATGATGTTGCCATATAAGCGAGAGGTTTGGCTAGTCATAAAACCAGGTTCAACCCACATTTTTTTTCTTAAAATGTCCTGTACCAAGTCTGGAATATGGCAGTTGTTATCTACAGTTGTTTCTTTGTATGTTGGCGCTTGTTGTAGTTCAGTGTTTCTGTTGTTTCGTTGTTTTCCTCTTATATTTGATATGTTTCCTCCGGTTTCAGTGTGTTACCCGGATTTATTTTTGCTTAATCGAAATATGAATATTGAACAGCGGTTTACTACTGTTGCCTTTATTTACGTCACACACTCCAATCAATAATTGACTGGGGAGGATATTTATGTCCTTTTCTAAGTATTTATTGTATTTGTATATACTTGACATATTAAAAATCTAGAGCTGTATATAACCATCTAATGATTTCAACTCTCAGTCCCGGGAGATGTTAAGTTTTCCTGTTATAACATGGGAACTGGGGCCATACATGAATTTGGAATTACTTCAATTTCTTTCGTAGGTATATTGTCCCTGATATTAACATCTTTCCACATCTCGCAAGGATTAAAAACATATTTCCGGGTAGATCTTTTACTAACACAACAACGTATAACCAAAATAACAAGAAAACTATTTGTTGGAAAACAAAGAGTCAATCTTCCTATCCTTCATCCGTGTTTGGTATAAGTTTATGATTTTATACTTTTTCATTATATTTTTCACCTATTCTACACGTAATCAATTATTGATAATTTACACTATTTGCATTACAACATTATCTTTTCATCAGTGGTACGATAACCGAATGCAGCTTAACAATCAATTTCTAATCTGCTTGGTACCAAGCAAGTCATGATTGCAAGTTTTCGCCTTGAACGAAAATCAAGATAATTCAATTGTGACTTTCTTTTAGGTATATAATTTTTGATTAGTTACAATATTACACAATAATTGAATATACCAAGTTCTTTCTCAATACATATTTTGTTTTGTAGAATTCTGATTGGGGTGAGCATGAATCCAAGCCAGAAAATGAAGCCAGTTACATGTACAAACATAGTTGTAAAGGCAAAGTTGGCCTTAGATGGATTTGGCTATTTTTTTAAATCCTTTTTGGTTTATGCTCTGCAATGTTTTCGGTCCTAATACATCCTTGATTTTCAAATATTCGACTTTGAGCGTTCCTGATGAAGATAAATCCAGAAATGCGCTTCGGGCGCATCAAATTTATAACGAGTTGTTTTCATTTTTTGTAAAAGAATGGATGAATTTATAACTTTGTGTTAGTTTTTCATTGTTTTTGGAAAAAAACTTATAGCTACGCTAGCAGCATTGTGCCATGGTGTGAAGGTATCAAACTGAACATGAAGCAAATTAATCAATGCACACATCGCAAAGTTATTACTAAAAGAAAGGTCTCAATACTGGATGGCAGTGAATACCTTGGAAATTTATTCTTTCTAAAATAGCAATTTGGAATAATGATAACCATAATTTAGTCAATATTTATAGTACATAACACCTTAATTTAATGGATATGTTGTAACTGTTTACCGTCAAATGAAAGCTAACCATACTTAAAGTCAAAATGTATACTTAAGATAGTCATAATTATTGTTTTATTCCAAACAGGTATTTTCAGCTGGTCAAGCATATTAAACAATACTTCAAAGTATCAATTTATTTATATCACCATTGATCACTATCAACATGATAAACCGCCGGACCCAGATAATAATCTCTATGTTTCGCATTCAGTGGCTTTCGTTGCAGGCGAGACAACAAATGAATGAAATGAATGTAAAATTGAATAACTATAAGTCACAAGTTTTATTAGAATTACGTTAATTAAGGCTTTCATTCAATAATTGTTCTTTTGATTATGCCATTTGATAAGGGACTTTCCGTTTTGAATTTTGCCTGGAGTTCGGTATTTTTGTTATTTTCGTTTTACTTGTTGATTGTAAAATTTGAAAAAAAAGAAATTTTGCCATTCATTCGTCAAATTGCTAATCAATATAGCCAAACTATACGTTATTTCCACATTCTTGTTTACCTACTTGACTAAAAAAATCATATTTTTTATAAAATACTAAAACAGTGTATACATTGTGCGACTCCTAAAATACCATGTTAGCAATATTTGTCATGCATTTCTAGTGTAGAATGATAAATAAACAGAGGAAAAGTTTATGCATTTTTTTTTCATGATTTATCAAAGTATTAGTTATATGAATTCATGAAATAGGTAAGAGATGCGAACGGGGTTTTGATCGCGCCTACAGCCATCGATGCGTCAACTCGATACATTTAAGAATATTTCGCGATCAAATATTGTATAAATTTGAACATGTATTGTTATTCAGTTTTTGATATTGAATTAAATTCCACTATACTGCTTTTGTTATGTGGTTCATGTTTACTGTTAAATAATAATACTATACTTTCATTTTCCCCGTAGAGGCGAAACATTTGCATAGCATATGCGATGCATTTTCATACAAGGAAAACCTAATAGCGTTTTCGGTTTCGGTCTATTTGTAGGGTCCTATACATCACAAACAAATGAACCTTTATTTATGGAACTATCTTGGATATTAAAAAGCGTTTACAAAAACCGCTTGAGTGACTGGTAACGCTTTCAGTTTTAGTTTGCATCTAAGGTTCTAAGTGAAATTAACCGAGGCAACTCCATTAGTCCGTATATTTTAGACAGGAACAAGCATTTCTCTAACATTTCACGCTTGGGTGACTGGATAATTTATATGTGACATGTCCTTAAATTTCTACCAGTGCATACATCGTATAGAGTACAAAGAGTTCAAGGAACAATCGTGTCACCTGAATTTATGCTTGAAGTTCTTAACAAATGTTGTAACAAATCAGCAAATACATAGTTTTAAGAATACAATGACATATTAGTTGCAGTCTGTTAATGGTTCTATATCACGGGTTATAACCGCCGTACAGTTAATTCCTCACGTTGCTGCGTAGAAAAGCGAGTTTGGTAGATAAAAAGGTTCAGACATTTTTCTTCAAAGACTTGTTGACGTAACTGTTAGTATTCTTTGTTTATGAAAACAAAGTTTACTGTTTTGTAGCAGCATTGTATATTATTTGTATCACATGAATACCCATGATGTATTTGAAACCAAAAAGTCACAAAACCCACTGTCACATTTAGTATAAGAGTCGTCCAACTATGCTTTATTTATAGTTTAATCAAGATTTGCACATAGTGTATAGTTTACGAGTAATTCATACATCTCTCTATTTAGATAGTTACAAAAAATGAGAAACTCTTTGTTTTATTTTATCTACAGACGTTCAAATGCATATTTGACGTCCAAGTGTCGTCACTGTACAATTTTCTGTCTTTTCAGTTTATTAAGTATCGTTCGTTGCAAATTCTTAAAAAGTATAAAAAAAATTGTTGAAGCAAACCCCAGCCTTTGACTTATTAAAATGAAATGTATGGCGTTGATGTGGGTTCATTTCACCTGCACAAAATACAATTCATTAAAGCAGTTGCATTAGGAGGACATCATCGTTTAAACACTATCAATATGGCAAATTATTTAACAGTTCCTTGCTATACACTAGATAATATTCCAAGTAAAATTGGGAGAAAAAGAATAAATTACTTTTCATTGGATGTTGAATGAGACGAACTGCCGTTTTATTCAGGATGAAAAAAAATGAACTTAAATCGAAGACATTAATATTCGACTTATGGACAATTGAATATGTGGTATGGAATGGTAAAACTATTAGTATGGATGAATCTAAAAAGGACTTACACAACTTGAGGATGTTTTGCAATGACATAGGAGGATACTTTGAACATTTACAGTCTAAAACATTAATGCGAATAGCATCTTTCATAATAGATACCTAAATGGAAGCGTATTTTTACCTTTTTCGTTAAAGAATACATTCCATTTTGGGTTTTTTAACGTTAATATGAAAAGAAAACAATTATAATACACACATTTTATATCATATAATTTATATTTATCAACATAAACAATCCTATCACATTTCAACAGTTAAACAGATATTACAGAGCTAGCTTCACTAAAAACGTTGTCCGACATTTAGATTGAAGCAACATACAATAAAACGATCTGACATAATCAAAGAGAGATGCAAATTATACATTTAACAATTATGTACGTAATTTGTAGATTTTGTTCCACTTCGAATTGGCTATATATGTAATGAACTAAACAAAACAGAATGTTTGTAAATGAAAAGTTTGCTTATGTGAAATTACATTATGACGGACTTACACCTATATGTATATATTACCTGTTTATGTAACCCTTTCTATCAAATAATGATGAGATATATCGCATAGTAACTTCCAAGTTCAAAAATTGATTTCTTAAATCTTGGTGGAATTAAAGACAACAAACAATTTTGCATGTTGTCTAAATATATATGAATATTACTGATGAAAACAAGTACAAACGAAAACTGTTATTTCTTTTTGTTGATCACATTAGAATGATAAGAACGAAGCAAATTTAGTTTTTTATCACCAATCTGTTCCTATCTTCTTGCTGGACATATTGAAGAATATTGATGAATAATGTATATGGGTGTAACATTTGCAAAAAGTATGAATGAGGAACACTCCTTGCTTAAATGTGTTTCCTCCATATTTCTCGCTTTTTCCTCAACAATAATCAACACTCATTTCTCACTATTTCAATTTTCTTTTCTAAAAAACAGGACAGTAGAAAATAATTTAACTTCTACCTATTAGCTTAGATGAATAAAACTAGGTGGCTCCTGTCATCTTTAATTATATTCTTTTAACCTATACTAACATATATTTGAATAAAATCGGAATTATTATTATTTTGCTTTAGGTTAAAATGAAGTAATTATTTACACAGGCAACAACGGTAGTCTTTCTAAGATCTGCGTTTACACTGTGAAAGGGGTACTCTATGGTTCCAGAATTTTCGAAATGAATGAGGAACATACGTCGCTTTAGGTATAGAACCACTAATTCAGGCCCGGTCAGAAAGAACATACAAGAAAGTAGTACATATTTTAAACAAAATAGTTCCTACGCATAGCTGTATCTTTTTCAATAGCGGGTATATTTGGGTAGTTTTGGTATCAAATGAAAGCTTGTGGACTTGGGATTACTGTAGAACCCTTGTTGAAAGATTTATTTGAACAATAAAGAAGTATATGAATTTTTTATAGGAGGGCACATTTGGCCTGTTGTTCAGATCAGAAGTTCCTGTTTTTGTACTATCAAACTTCCGGGAACCAGTACGCTCTAATATGCAATTAAAGGTATGTTGATTTTTTCAGCACAAGTCAGGATAAGGTACATTTTTGACATGAAATAACTGCCATTTTATTTGAACTTCAGACAAAGTAGCCATTAATGCTTGAAATTGCAGAATTTATTATAAAAAGCAATGGGGCTATGAATTAGTGGTTTTATACCTTAAATTTGTACAGAATATTTTGATAATCGGAGAGTTTTCTCCAAATTTCTTGCTATATTTCTTCACCAATAGTCAATTTACTTTTCTAAGTAACAGATCAACAGCAAATGAATTAACTTCTACCTATTATCTTGGATGTAAAAACTAGGTGGCCCCAGTCATCATTTATAACTTCCTTTTAACCTATACTGACATAAACTTAAATAAAATCGGACAACCTTTGCAGTAGTATTATATACCCCTACTGCTTACGTTCATATTTTTGGATATAAGGAACAATAGTTTATTATTTGAAATGACTTTCTTTACATTCCATTGAGGACTACGCAAGAGCATATGCTAAAGGAGATGAAGTTGAACTGGACACTCGTCAAAACAATCAGGTGTCTAATAAAACGTCGAATTCATAAGTTAAAAAATTGTATGAATGACCGACCAAAGTCCATTTTCAGAGTCAAAGAAGCTTTGAAAAGTCTATCATCTATTCACGATAAATATGTTGTTGTTTTTGCTAACTAAGCTTCAAGTAATATTGTCTTTTTTGTTGTATGTAAAAATAGGCAACACTAGTATACCGCTGTTCAATAGTCATAATTCGATTAAGCAAATACAAATCCGGGTAACAAACTAAAACCGAAGGAAACACATCAACTATAGGAGGAAAACAACGGAACAACAGAAACACTGAACTACAACAAAAGCAAACGTAAACATACATAGAAACGGACTGTAGATAACAACTGCCATATTCCAGTCAAGGTACATGACATTCTAAGAAAAATGGTGGGCTGGACCTGGTTTTATGGCTAGCTAAACCTCCTGCTTATATGGCAATGATAAATATACTGCTAAAATGACAACACTACGTGACAGGAATACAGTACATACAAACACAAGAACACTCAGCACATAGAAATACAAAAAATAAATAATATAATAGTATATTACAACATGTAAACCGCAGAATAACAACGGACACCTCCCATGAATTAACGACAGCACACCAATACACCACAAACGAAATATAAACTGCGCGTCACATGAATGGATCAACGTCACAAAAAGTGTAAATCGTATTTCTACGAGTGTCCTGTAAAAGAATTAGGTTTAATGAGCGACCCGGCGATCCCACATACATAAACATCATTTGACAACAGTAAGATTTTGGCAATTCATAAGTCCTTAATGGCTTCAATGAGCATTACATTGAACAGCAAATCTGAGGACTTACCTTGTTTGTATTTGATACCTGAGCTTCACAAAATGCCGTACAAATAACGGTACATTGCCGCCTCATTTGCATATTCTACAGAGGAATTGTTCATTAGATTGGTAAAAATTCTGTTCGCAGTGGAGGAGTGTCTTCAGAAATACTGTGAAACTCCCGTAGTGGTATTATCCATATGTGGATTAAAAAAACTCTAAAGAACTTCTAGATGATTTTAAATCTTAATATTTCTCTGAAATTAATTCTACCAAAACGTTTGATTGTTCAACACTGTATACAACCATTCCCAATGTGAAATTGAAAAATTGTCTAAAAAAACAATCCACAATGCTTATCAATACAAAAAGGGTAGCCTACGCTATACATTTATAGCTTTGGGATACCATACGGCATTTTTTGATAATAGTGAACAAAAAAGTAAAATATGCTACACAGAGGAACACGTGATCAGTATGCTAGAGTTTCTTCTTGTCAACATATTTGTTAAATTTTGAGGTAGGCTTTTTTAACAAATTGTAGGCATTCCTATGAAAACGAGCTGTGCGCCTCTCCTTCCGCCCTCTTCTTATTTTCATATGAGTCGGAGTTCCTTCTTCAGACATTTGTTAAAAACAAGAAGATCAAAGAAGCCAGATCATTTTATTTCACGTTCAGATATATTTCCAATCCATACATTTCTGATTTGGTTCCATTAATATTTCTCCAGAATTGGAAATTAAAGAAACAATAGACACGGCTTCCTCCGCCTTATTTTTAGACTTATATCTCGAATTTGACATCAGCGGTCATCTCAGTATCAGAATCCATAACAAACGAGACGATTTTAATTTTGAAATTATAAATAAAATTATTCTTACCAGTTATACTTTCACATGAAAACGTACAAGTTAATGGAAAAAAGAAAGAAAAGAAACCCTTGGGAAAATGAATAATCCGCCGTTATAACCCATCGCAAGTAAACATACAACGATAAATAGTAATCGGTAATGTTACAAACGCGGAAAAGAAAGAAGAAAGAGATTGTGATTACCACAAGTGAACGATACAAATCGGCATAGGTGATATTATATAACGGTGAACCAAATGATGATTGCGTACGTAAAACTTTCGAAAGGATAATGTCAACTTTACTATTTACAACCCTTGATGCAATAGCTGAATTCCAACAAGTGATCTTCTATCAAAGATATCAAGATAGGAAAGGCCCTAGAATGTCGGGGGCATGATATTGATCTTTTTTACATAATTGAAGAGGCTATTTTGTAAATCTTGCAAAAGAACAAAGAAGCTACAGATACCAAGCGGACATTCAAAGTTGAAGATTTGAAGAGAACAACCAACGCCAAGGCAAGAAATCTCAAAATAAAGATATATATTTGGATGCCAAAATAAGGAATTTAAATTATCAAATATCGGTCTAAACAAAACAAAACATTCAAAGTTCGAAATTCATAATTCGCATATCAAGAAAGATAATCCTGTTTTATTGCAGTTGGAATCCAAACGCTACTATTACTATCTTAATCTAGTCATTTGATCTTATATTATACCGTAGATAAAGTATATAATTGTGCACAGACATACAATGAAAATAATTGAAAGGATATGTGCCGACATTATATAAGACAAGTGAGGAATTTTTTGTTATCACTTATACTCCGCGAGGTCGGGTATCCTTTAATCCTTTTTCGAATGTGTAACACTGTTCCTCAATTCATGATCTGAGACTAATTTATAATTTTCACAATTTCCCCGTAGAATAAACTAAGTCATTTGGTGATGTATCAGTGAAACATTGGACTATTCTAGACCGATGAAATAGTAACTTGCAAGGCACAATTCACCATACCATATATTTGTAGAAAATTGAGGCGCCAGTAGGTCACGTTTAAAATTTATCTCATGCTAAACTGATCATAGATAGCATCTTTTTAAGGTCACAGGTCATAAGCAGATCCTGGATTTGATGTCAGATTGGGGGAGGGGCACTCCTAAGAGTAAGGAATTAAATGACCAATGGTTTCGAATAGTAAAAATGAATGCATCCCTTTGAAAGTTTTACGGTCCCTTTGCCTTGTTTTAATGGGTTCGTGTTCTTAACAAACATTATAACATAGCTTTGGTATTATATTGATTTGTAATCTTTGTTGCCTGTCGTAAGCCCTAGGAAACAGGATTATCATAGATTAATTTTTGAATTTCGAATTTTTAATTTTGAAATATGAATGATCCCCTTATCGGCTTTCGTATGATCCTTCTCGGCTTTCTTACTGATAAGATGTAAATTTATCTAGTTGTGTTTCGTCGTTGTTTGGTCTGTAAATGACAATTTTTCATCACACAATCCTGATTGTGTTCCGTGTTTATTTCTTACAATTAGCAAATTCAGAGTTTTTTTCGAATTCGCGTCTTATGTCATTAGTGTTGCCTCCTTTTGCATAGGTCAAACGATCATTAACTATTAGTTATAATAAACAAAACTTAAGACCGATGTGTAAAAGTCGGAAATTATTATCTAATCAGAAATATTTATGAAAAATGAATAACTCGTGACATGGCGGAATTAAGTAAATCCAAACACATACAGAAAATAAACTGTAAGATTGGGCACCGAAACACAAACATCTGGTCGATAAGGAGAAATGAAACCTGAAAATATTCAATCTTTACAAAATTTTAAAGATGATGTTGCTGAATACTTTCACATATGTCAAATGGTATGAGTACGTTGGTAAATAACGTTTGATATTGTCAGTTTGTATAGACTTACCCCCTTTTTTAATTTAACTGGGAGTTCGGTAATTTTTTTATCTTATTTTCTTCTCATACCGATCTTTTGAGTTAAGCCCACACAATTGGTTTTAACAGTGTGTTCTTGTGTTGTGTTGTTGCACCACTATCCCAGGTAAAAGGATGGATTGAGCGCTCACAAACATGTTTAACCACGCCACATGTATTTTGAACTTGTCATAAGAAAGAAGCCGGTCCTTCGGTGGTTTTCATTGGTTCGTGTCTGTCATATGTGTTTTTCGTTAATTGTTTTGTTTTATAAATAACGCAGTTAGTTTCCCGTTTGAATTGTTTCATTGTTTATATATCGGGGCCTTTTATGGTATATAAAGTATGAGTTTTTCTCATTTTCTAAGGCCGTACGGTTGCTTATACTTGCTTACATATACTTAATTGAACTCTTGTAGATAGGTGTCTCATTGCCGTATCTCCTTATTTTTATATTGGAACCCGAAAATTAACTATAACAAATTATCAGAGTTTTGCTAACTTTTTTAATTTAGTTGGTCAACATACAATGTAAGTCTAGTTTCAGTCTGATCAAGGTTCATTTTCTATGTCAGATATTTTTTAACTTTTTTTTATCAGTTTATTAAATGTGGAATAAGTCGATTACATGCCATCTTAAGTCTGAAGGTGATAAAGAGAGATTTCATTACACCTTAAAGTATATTATGCAAGCATTGTGTTAATTAACAAAGGATTTAGATAAAGGCGTATGTTTGTTTATATAAAAAATAAGGAGATGTGGTATGATTGCCAATGAGACAACTATCAACAAAATTTTAAATTAAGTGGATGTAAGCAATTATCGGCAACAGTACGGCCATCAACAATGAGAAAAACCAATACCGTATAGTCGGCTATAAAAGGCCCCGAAATGAGTTATTGAAACAATTCAATTGAGAAAACCAACGTCCTAATTTATAACATAACAATCTAGGATGTTTGTGACATACTTTATTGACAAAAAGGTAAGTTTTGTGAATTATGTTAATAATACTCCTGGGTTGTAAATTGTAATGTTGTTTGTTGTTGTTGAAACTGAAGAAACTATAATAATTATCAGACAATGATTGTAATATAAATATGATAAAGTTGTTGAATTCTGACATTTGACTAATTTAGATAGGACATGGTAAAAGTTGTCATATTTATAGCAGCAAACATATCTGATTGATCATTGTGAATGGAGATCACCTTGTCTTTATTTCCAAAACCTGAAACATTGTAAAGATTTCAATTCATATCATGTTGTCATTTCAGCTGTATTCTTAACATTGTCATATAAGTGGTGGTTTGGCTAGCCATAAAACCAGGTTCAACCTACCATTTTTTCTTAAAATGTCCTGTACCAGGTCAGGAATATGGCAGTTGTTATCACACAGTCCGTTTCGATGTATGTGTTCGTTTGCTTTTGTTTCTGTTGTTCCGTTGTTTTCCTCTTACATTTGATGTGTTTCCCTCGGTTTTAGTTTGTTACCCGAATTTGTTTTTGCTTAATCAAATTATGACTGTTGAACAACAGTTGCTTTTTTTAAGACAAACTAACACTTTGACAACATCCTGTTCTTATACTGTTCCTCTGATTGATGATTGACTTTTTAAACGATGAAAGGCAAATTCCGTTGACAGATATGGTATTAATGTGTTTTCCATTGCATCTCCCAGTTATTTTTATAAATGTAAAGTAATGTCTATGGGTATGAAAAATCTTTGTTCCCACTATTCAAAGACTTGTTAACCACATTCTTAAAGGTTTAGATGGCTCTTCTGGTTATGTTAATTATATCACTATCTACAGTGATTCTTTGTGTCATTGTTTACAACAAATACGTACATTTATTTTGAAGACTGTTGAAAGTAAATTTAACAATTAATGTAGTTGAATGTGATTATTATCAAGCAACTTTCAAAATTGTTATGCCATGCATGTATGTTATTGGGGAACATATCATTTCAAAAGTTAAAGTAATGCATGATTTAAATAAAAATAACTGATTATTTCGTAGTTTACCTTCATATGGATCACCAAGCTCAAAAGTTTGAAAACTAGGAATATATAAATACATGGAAACCTTATGACCAAAAGTGACATTGAAAGAATAGTCAAATTCATCTTAGGTCAAATGTGCATGATGTTGTTTGAACCTTAGTTTTTAAGACTTACTTTATCAAAAGAGAGAAATATTAGAAAAAAACATTTTATAAATGATGTCACTACCGAAGCACTGAACACTTCAGTCTCTTAGTAACAACTTAATATTATTGGAACGGCTGAATATTACCAAATACTTTTCTCATGGAATCTTTAAATCTATAACTTTGAAAAAAATTAAAAGAGTTATCTTAGCCCAAATATTGCCTTTAAGTTTATCATTATTATAAAATAAAAGTTACAATTTTGCTCTGAAATATATTGTTTTATAAAGCATTACTGCTAAGTAAATCAAATCTTCATAAAATAAAAAAGACATATCCAAAGGTCATGTACCTGTTTGAAAGGTAGCAAAAACGATGACATTTGTAGGACCTTAAAGCTGTAGGAAAACTTTGACCGCAGCATTCAACATGCAACGAGGTGACAAAGTTTATATTGAAACCTTAGATACAACAATGTCCTGGATAAATCTATGACAACTATTTTTTGTAGAATTAGTAATATTTGGGTCCGATTCAAAATATATTGGAATATAAGGAATGGTCAATGTTGCAACAGGAGACTTGAATTAATCTTCAGGCTTGTAATTGATGCAAGCACTGTTTCCATTGGTTCAATACCCTTACAGAACGACGAGGATGTTATTGAATATCATGTATTGTTTTTGTCTACGAAGTTTGATAAACATCAGAAAAGTAAGTCCACTATTCAGAGAGAATGTTTTAAGTATAATTTCTGTCTTTGCAACCGTTTGATGTTCACTTAAATATATCATATTGACCTGTAACTGTATAAACGGTGCACAAGTCTTTTGCGTTCATACACAAAACGAAAAAGAAAAATCAGAGAATATTAAATTGATAATTAACAAGAAATAAATTTTAAAATAAAACATTCCACAGTCAAAGATAACGTCATTGCTGACGCATTTTAAAGAGTATATAAACTAAATATTGCAAATATGGAATATTTTTGTCATAGACATTACCAGCTTCGTATTATTTTCCCAAATTATTGATTATTTCTGTGATGAATACCTGAGTTATGTCAGAATCTCTTTTTTTCAGAATGTTTCATGTTAACTTTTTTTATTAAATAAGCTGATTTGTCAAAAATGACCAATGAAATGACACAGGAGCATTATCACAACGAAGCCATAAATACCAGAATTGTTACATGCAAATTCAGCATTTTTCATGTTCCCGATAGCTATTTATTGTAGGAAATTTAATTCCAATTGACAAGGTATACTTTGCAGACATATATCGCTATATATTTATACTGCCTGAATGTTTTAAGATATCATCCTGCATTTATATAACTGTACACTCAAGATGAGTATTATCCTTTGCGTATTGTGATTTATTTAACACCTCCAAAATTGAAACCTGATTTTTACAGCAGATGTAAGATCAGGGAATTTATATATTTCCAATGCTAGGCAATATTGTCGTGGAAGAAGGAGGAAGAGTACAAGTTCGAGTCTCATTTTGAGAGCAATAAAGAATACGTTCAACTGTTATATTGCTTGTTTGAATTTCTAGACACACTTATTATAACACAGGCACTTGTCTCAAAAAAAGTACCTATATATTTTATATAACACAATGAACTTAACTCGATTTTTGAAAAATGTCACCGGTCGCAAACTTCCGCTATATTTCAATTCTGCGGTTGTCTATCCCACTGAAACTTATTATATCGTACATCTAGATTAAAGTACATACGTAATGCTGTATATCACGCTTATTTCTGTTGACAAATCATTTGGAAGAGGCCTTTCAAGTATGTCAACCGTAATTTATTTCGTCTTCTAACAGCCAAATGGCAATTCTTTCGGAGACAAGTGCCAGTGAATTATAATACGTTATAAAAAAATATAATAAAAATTGTTATAGAACATCTGTTTTACATATGACCACGGATATGTTCCAACTGTCATAACCACAATCCCGTCCTATTTGTCTCAAATGTGAACTACCGAGTAAGACTTGTCATCGGGGTTGTAAATATATGAGCAACACAAGGGGTGTCACATGGGAAGCAAGATTCGCTTACCCTTCCAGCGCCCATGAGATCACCCCCTGTTTTCTTCGGTTTCATGTTGCTCTGTTTTTAATTTCCTCTGTTGTGTTTTGTATACTGTTCGTCTTTTGGTAGATTTTGTTTTGTTTTTAAATTATCAATTTGAGTTTCCTTTTCGTATCTTCTACCTCTCTTTCAAGGTGCCTGAGCTTACACGTCTACAATTCGTCATCAGAATTTGATCGTTTGAAAAATTTACTAAGAGTCGATTTGCTCTGAATAAAAATATTTTATATAAAAGAAGAATTTGCGATAATGAATTGATCGATCGCAGTTGTAATATAAATTCATTTCATTGCAAAACAAGTTAAACTGTCGAGTTTCCAATCACTTCAGATACACATCAAATATCCATCATTGTGTTGACACACATTATATTGTACTTTTATCAAAATATGCACTGAATTTTCCAAATATCTTTTCATTTATCGGATTGATAACATTTTTGTGATGAAGAAAAGAAGAAGAAGAAGAAGAAGAAGAAGAAGAGGAAGAAGAAGAAGAAGAAGAAGAAGAAGAAGAAGACGAAGAAGAAGAAGAAGAAGGTTATAGTAGAAAAAGAACATACAAAAACAGATCAACAACAACAAAGACGAAGGCTACACTAGGAAGTACATAATTCGATCTAAATTAGCTAAGTCAAATATAAAGCATTAATAAATACTGAAATAATATATTTACAAGTTCGTCTTTCTTTGAAACCATACGCCGATTATTATATTTTACATCTTTGTTTAGCCGCAACAACTCTGGCGTATAATTTTGGCATTATTCTTATCATTTTAGTATCTCTATATTTTGGGAATGTCATGCAGTCACCCGGAAAAATATTTAATTTGCTGCATTTTCTGTAATGATGCAGGATAACATTGTGAGATCGAAGCCAAATCCTGTAAATAGAAAAACACTAAAAACAAAGAAAACATATATTGTCTTTGTAGTGTTGTACATAAATCTTCCAAAAGAAATAAGAAAAAATTACGTCTAATATATCATTGTTTCAAAGGAGTGTCGGACTTTTAGCAGGTTTAACTCAGTTATTAAAGAGAAACTTACCGAAACGCATTCTAACACAATTGATAAAAGCAGACGCACTACCAGCGTAGAATAGGAGAAGTTAAAACTTAGCCTCATTTACTTTTACGGTGACCTGAGTCTCTGATGGAGAGTTGTCTCATTGGCTGTCACACCATATCGTCTTTTTTTTTTGTATAGTTGAACATTTATGAAAAACTAGTGAACTACGACATGTATTTTTGACTTTGATGAATCAAGTTATTGGGTACCTGAAGTTGTTCGTGCAGCTGGTTTTTTCCGACTATAGAATAATAAGATTTCGATACTTGCTAAAGCAGCTCTTGAATATACATGTTGTACTTATCTTAATTAAATGATATTAGGAATCTCTATATTGCATCATTCTTAATGTCTAGATCTTTTACACCTCACCAACTTGAAGGATTTAAAAACAATGGATTGTTTAAACAATAATCTAAGTTTTCGAATTAAACATGTCAGGGTTTCCGCCAGCGGTCGCCATTTTCGCATTTTGCGAAAAAATTAAAATTGTGACAACAAAAAACAATACTGGCGAAAGACATGTAACGGTTCGACTTTGTCCATCTTGTTTATTGTTTTGAAGTTTCTCGGAGTTTTCCTTGATCAGACAATACTGGGATTTCACCTTGAACTCGTCACGCTTTACGATTTTGATAGGAAATCACTAGTCAGCTATCGGTAACAATGGACAAATTAATAAATGTGTTCATTGTTTATTGAAATTGTGTGGTTAAATGGCGCCATTTGTCAGGTAAACGATTGTTTTGACAAATTTGATATAAATAATGGTTTTTGGCACATACTTACAATTTCTCGTCCAATTAAATTGCTTGAATTTGCATTCTAAGTTTCATAGTACATATTTTTTCCGTGTACTAAGTAACTATGAATGAATGACCACATGGGTAATATTTCATTGTATTGCCTTTGGCTATTTTGGAATAAAACTCTGTGTCCCAAATTAAAAAAAAAGATGTTTGTAATTAGTTTCCACATTGATTTTACTATATCCTGCTATTAAAATTTTTGGTTTTTAAAAATATTTTTGATAATTGCAAGTTGTTATTCTTTATTTTTGCAAGTTTTTATCCTTTAAATAAAGAATAACAAACGTGGCCCTTAATACCTTGATTAGAGTACAACGCTATCTTATAATTGATGTAATTAAAAATCCATGCGATTACTGTGTACACAAACCAGTAAAAAAGTATGTTCTATGAAACCTTGTGAAGTGAACTTAAGTCAACTTATAAGGATTTTTTTTTACTTTCTTAAAGAACTTGATCCATATCATTATGAATTGAAAAACCGTGATAATGTATGAAGGGAATGTTCGACCTATATGTATATATATATATTTTCTGATAAAGCTTTAAGTTTTTATTTTGAAATAAAAAAAAAAACTAAAATCTTTGATCTTTTTGTAGTTGCTTTTTAATACCTATCCGCTATGGGCACATATAACTGTTTTTTTCAAATCTATTATCGCTTTAGTTTAACTTTGAAATTAAATAATGTTTTTAAAACTTGTAAAGCTTCCGCTGCAATTTAATCATATATGCCAGTTTTTGGTCCATTTATTTTGTTATCTTACAACGAAAAGAGGAACATGTAGTAAGACACTGCGTTATATCAATATACATACTTACACCAGCAGCTATCATCTTTTCATTCTGGAGTCAAAAGACTTTTAAAATCACAAGTTTTATGTGAGATTGAAAAATAAACCGTTATTTTCTCAATTCGTGTATAATGCATTTATAAACTTATCATCTGGTAAATTACTGCCACTGAGTAAATTTACAAAACATGAAACTTAGTAAATGAACTCTGTTTGACAAACTCCTGTCATACAACTAGTCAACCAAAATCAATTGACTAATCAAAAGATTACTCGAGTTGTAAATATGAGCTAAATAAGATAGTCTTTGAAAAGGTATATACTATGAAATTAAGTGCTCGAGACAAGCCCCTCGCTCTAAATTGCATAGTATATGTACAAGCCTTTTCATAGACTAACCGATACGTAGTGGACTTCACAATCGTTTAATCGACGCATGTGTTTGAAACATATGTTTACGTCTCAAACTTTTCTTTAACGATGGTTCAGAAAAGAACACTGTTGATTTTAAGAAAAATGTTCAAAAGTATGAAAAATCTCTTCCGTCTTTATCCTTTAACTAGACGGCAAGTATCCAAGATGAATCCCGTATTACCAGAAATCAAAAAAGATGATTTCATTATTTATATTGCAATTTTACAGTATCTTTAAAAGAGGAAACTAGAAATGTTTATTATTATTAATGAGTGTTAGTTTATTACAGTCTAGGTAAAAATAGAAATGTAAAATTGTAATAGATGAGACAATGATGCTGCAAACGGATTTTTTTTTCTTGGTAGGAAGGAAAATTGTAAACGAAAAAATGTTTATTTTAGTTCGGGAAAAAATATCGAAAGTGGCGAAAAAAATATCGTTTTGGCGAAAGAGGTCGCGACAAAAAAATGACCCAGGGGAAATCCAGAACATGTATATATGTCATTAAATGATATCTGAATATTAAACCAATATTATATGTATCATGTCAACTTGAAGATATGCATCAACGACAAATTTTGAAGCAGAACTTTAAATAAAAAGAATATATAAAGAGCGAAAAAAAATAAGATTGTTACATTAGGTTTAAATTCTCTCGAAAAAAGTGTCAGTAAACTATCATAGACATGATACGCACTAAGATTTTGCAAGTGTCGGCGGATTCAAATTTTAAAAAAAAACGAGAAAATGTCAAGGGGACAGTAAAAATAACAAAGTCTAATAAAAACAGACAACAAAAAAGATTTAAAAAACATTAATAAAGCATTTCACAGAATACGTAAACAAGTTTTATAGTTGTGAAGAGGCAAATGTTTTTCATTACGTTTCGTCCTGAGGCTACAGGTGGGTACAGACCAAGCATGACCAAGTGAACGCACTTAACGCCATGTGCACATGTTTCGCTTGTCAACTTTAATTTTCTATTTTACTCTGTGTCCGTTTAGTTAGTTGTAAACTTTTTTTTTATACAGATTTCACAAATTAATTTTTGCTTGCAGTTGAAAGTAAACAGGAGTTTACTACATATTTCAAACGTTTATTTTGTACGCGCACTTGCATTTTTGAAATTGAATGCGCGTTTACTTTGCGCTTAATTAATTGTGCGAATTATAAAATAAACTACATGATTTTGAACATTTCTTTATTTTGTAATAGTAACTTTCAACTTAATATTTACGTATATACGTATATATAGAACCACAACAATTAAGAAACACTCCTAATTCTAAATATTAACCTTTATTGATATATTACTACATGTTTCAAATATCGATTCACAAAAAAGTTTTTAAATGTTATGCCAAAACTAAATACTGAAAATCTATATGTACATTTAAAATTATGTTTTATACAGTATTATGAGTAAGTGGTCAACATTCTTTACGGCAGATTTAACTGGGTCATGCTTCAAGAAATATAACAAACGACAAAGTATAGAAAAAGTTTGTTCCATGCCGTAGCACATTATCTTTGCATCTAAAAAGTTAGTTATTGATCAATTTATATATAGAGATGCAGTTTATAAAAGATACAACTCTAATCAGCTTTAATTTTGAAATAAATTACATGCGAACTGAATTATAAGTCTAATTTCAATGATAATTTCAATGGGATCACATCAGTTCACGACACATTCATTTTCATTTATTTCACAATCTAGCAAATCATTACTGAAAACTATTTAAATAAACGAGTTCACTGTTTCTTGTCAAAATATTAGGTACATGAAAATCCAATAGTAAATTTGTAAAATTAAAAAAAAAGAAGCGTAGATACCCCTCACAAAAAAAACCGCCTAATTATTGTCGAAGAAAAACAAGAAATCTTAAAGTTCTGTTTATTTTTCATTTATTTTCCTAGAGTTTCACAAATAATGGCAAATGAAAAAAATCGCATCCCACTTGTATGACTGTTATTCCTACATGTAGTACAATGAGGTCGAACTTAACAAAAGAGCATGCATATATACACATTACTCAAGTTATGAAAAACAATGTGAAATCTGGGTTTTATAATCTCTGTCAGAAAAAATAAAAATATTAGAAAAAAGTTCATTTCGATGTCATGTAAAATTCTAAGTGTTAACGCTGTTAATTGTCGTTCCCTTAGTTAACGGGTTTAACTTCGTACTTTATTTGACCTTTAAACATTTTTGATTCGATCGTCACTGATGAATCTTTTGTAGACGAAACGCGTGTCTGGCGTACAAACTTTTAAGCATGGTATCTAAAATGAGTTTATTTAGAGTAAAATATCAACTTTATTCAGAACTAAATTAATAAAATGCACGGGTTTTGTGATGTTACATTACTTTTATTCTTTTCAAGAGTCTTTTTATGTAGCTCCTTAATCTTATATACCCGAACCTCAATTTCAAACAGTCAAGCGAAAATCGATAAAATTATTCGAACTTTCATTCAATTTGATAATAAGCTTATTTGACATACAAGTTTCTTTGGTGTTGGTAATATACATACCTTTTGTATCCATTCCTTGGCCAAATTTTATGAGTATCAAGCGTGTCTGTTCTGTTTGGCAAATAGATATTTTTATGTCGATCTGAAACTGGGTAGGTTCTTTTAATGTATTTACTGGTTAGCAACGGTTCTACTCCTGATACTCCCCAATCCATTATGAAGAAAGACACATTCAGGGTGAAGGCAGCAGCATCCAGATAAGAGGGTAATAACTCCGACTATGAATGTAAGAGTAAATTAACGATGATGATAATACAGACGATGGTGATAATGATGATGAGGAGGAGGAGGACTTGGAGGGTCACAGTCGTTTGTTGATAATCGCCCTAATTTTATACCATTTAACAGTATGAACTAGAATACAGTCGTGTCCAGGATCCTCCTTGTACACATTTGAATCGATAATAACTGACTGCAATTATGGCTTTAACTTATTAATTGGAATATACCAATATGTACCAGCAGATTCCTGGGCTTGTATACATTTCTAGGATGTTACTAAAAGTGTTACACAAAATGAATGAAATAAAAAGCATTTATCAATTCTTAATAATAAATACAATAAACAGGTACAAACACAATTTTATAACTGACGGAAATATTTTTTGGAATGGTTTATCTATTACAATATTTCTGACTTTTCGTTTACGGCGTTTTGTTGAGCAACCAATTTTTTGTTGAAGCTACGGCGAGTGTTGTATGGGTTTGCACATTTGCAGGCAGCAACCAAATAGTATTTGGTGTTTAAATTTTGAATCTATACATGATTTGCGAAATTTCCAAGAAATAATGAGGTGTATTTGAATTAATTGTTGACTGCTGTGTACTGTCATCAGTATCAAGTGGCAAATATTATTTGTATATTCGATGCAAAGACGTATTGATGAAATATGGCGTATTATAGCTTTCTTTGTGTTTACCTTTTCAAAGCGTGTGGTTGAAGGAGAAACAGCAAATTCAAATGTTCACGTCAGAGTTTTTATCTACCTCGCTTGAGGAATGCACACTGCCACAAGACAAGCGAATTTCAATTGATAAAACATTACATGCTTGTCGCGATTGTGGAAACTATATGTCAATCGGAGACCGAACGGTACCATTTTTTATTTTTTTATTTGTTCCGTCAATCTCAATTTCAACAGTGTCACTCAGTTTTACATTTGTCTTTGTAATTTATGGTTTCAACCTCTGGTAAATTCTACAGAAAGTCTACGCTTTGCTCGTCCCATATGATAGACATATGCTGAATATATGGGCACATTGTGTTTAGATTCATTCATAGTAAGAACACTCACAAAAACAGTGTCAACAGAATAGTTTGCACTATAATGACTAGTATCTGAAATGATTTTAGACAACATACTAATAATTTAAATATTAATTTGATTTTACTTAGTAAGATCAATTTCAATGATGTATTACGCGAACGTATATAACTATGACTGTTTATATAGTACAATCAAGGATCCTCCAAGATCAGATTTACATATTTCAATCATAATAAGTAGGTATTGCAATTTGGATTAGTATGATTTTTTTTTTATAAAAGAGGTAACTATAGTTTACCAATATTCAAACATAATGTATCGATAAACAAGACAAACAAACAAAAATTGTGGGACTCGAAAAGGAGCAAAACCAGACTCGTCGACAGGCTACAAGTTTCCTGCAATGCAAGCATCACCCGCCATGTGAATCCACACTTAGTCAAAATGTTGCAATCTGGAATAGGACGCAATCTGTAAAATTAGGGATTAGAAGACTATTCAAGTATATTTAGCTCGAAAAATTGCAACACATGTAACTGGTGAGTTGAGACACAGACCTATCGCATCGGTCAATCAATTCTTGATGATGACACAGTAAAACTTATGTAGTATCGAGTTTTGTCGTTCTTCTTTATTCTGATGCAGCAGTTTTTGTGTCAGAAGCATATCCCTGCTAAAGAAGTTCGTATAGTTTAAAAATAAATGAGCGTAGCTTATCAATGGTATATGTTAACGCCATACGATGTGGCAGAGGGTGTTTTACTGTTGAAAAATAGAAAGTTGATAATTAGAAAGTTGAAATCATCAAGTTTGTCATAGATTCTACACATTCTCTTCACAAAATACGGGTTCTTGATCAACATGAATTCAGAATTTCACTGTACCTAAACAATCTAGCTTTCAAATTATACACTACTGTACCTGATACATTAATCAACAACTCTTTTATAATACAGAAACCATTGAACTGTACACAATATTTTCCTCTATGTACGTTTGGTAATAACAGTTTTTTTCACCATTTGATATAACAAGCAATCAATATTACAATTCTGTTTTTCATTCCATGTATCGACATATATTTTACTAAACAGCGCAAAAATCAAAATGTTAGTTAGGCCACTTTGAAATTGTTCTTTAGAGCTTAGTTGATTACATGCATGAATACCTGTTTATGGTGAAGCGACCAATACGACCTGTGGAAATGACTCCATGGAACTGGAATGTGCAATTCTCAGACTGCTGTCTCCTAAATATCAGTATCCTTAGCATACTCAATTGATTGGGAGTTTATGCTGAACAAATCCATAAAGACATGGAAACACAAGTACATGTTTAAATTGAGCTCGTTCAACTCATTCCCGCTTGACATATATATTTTTATCGTCTAGAAATTTAGGTGAATGATCAAAATGGTATAAAGCTATATAAACAAACACTTTTTAGTAGATTATAGAATTGTATAATCATGGTTTATAGATGAGTAGTTCGAATCCATTTAATAGTGTTGTTTATTTCCTTAACCCGCCTCTGCATCTTCCATAATAGATAGCTTGCAGGCATCATAAAAGTTTGATAAAGAGTTCACGCAAACATGAACAGGTCAGTTAAGTTGCATGCTTCAAATTTCGGAGTATGTATCACGTGGGAAACAGGTGGATCACAGTCTTAGTTAATATCTCATTGTGTAAACATCTTTTCAAGCATCTTCTCAAAACAACCGCCATCAACCCCCACCTTATGATTCACCTATAATATTTCAACGACAGGGGGAAAAACTCAATAAATAAACCTTTTGAAATATTTCACTTGTTATTCAAAAGTTTCATTCATTTTCAAAGCATCGTTCATCCAACATCTCCAACTTCAACTCAACACCTTAAAACATTGTATCCAACCGTCAGGCGGGGGTTTAACCATTGCCACGCATGGGCCGTCAGATGAAGCTTCGCTTTGTCATTGTTTTTTTTTTATTTGCGTTGAGCGTAGTGGCTTGTCAGCTGGTGTACTTTCCACGAAAGACCCGGTTGCTGACAAAGTCCTGGAGAAAAATTATCTTTCTGATATTTGAGTGATTAACCTAGGCCAAAATTTAATTCTTAGTTTTATGTTCTCCCATTTATTTGTATTGTAGTCATGTCATGTAATGTTGTCATTTTAATGTTATATTTAACATTGCCGTAAAAGCGGGAGATTTGGCATGCCACAAAACCAGGTTAAACCCACCATTGTTTTCTTAAAATGTCCTGTACCAAGTCAGGAAAAAGGCCATTGTTATATTATAGTTTGTTTCTGTGTGGTTTACATTTTAATGTTGTGTTTTTGTTGTGTCGTTGTTCTCCTCTTATATTTGATGCGTTTCCCTCAGTTTTAGTTTGTAACCCGGATTTGTTTTTATCTCTATCGATTTATCAGTTTCGAACAGCGGTATACTACTGTTGCCTTTATTTTTTATATTCATAATAAATATTTTGCATTATACTGTATCGTATCTGTAGTATCACTGGATTCATGAAGTTATTATTGAAATCTGCAGTCTGACAGTACACTATATTCACAATGATCAGACAGGACCCTTTAAAATTTATTACCTCGGTTGTAACAGATGTTAACGGTCAACATGGTTCCGCTAATGACTATACCAGCACATTAAGAATTTTCACATATTGACATCTTGCGAATATCTTATATATAAATCAATAATACTTTTTGTAATGTATTGTTTTATTGATTAGATTATTACAGAGATTGCAATTTCGACTTAGATAATTACACATCTATCGTAGGTAAAAAAAAACTCCATAACATTGAACGCATGGTACAATCGCCAGTAAAACCAGTGTCACAGTTTTTAATACTACTCACAAACCTTTCAGTGAAGTTTTTATTGTTATTCAACGCAAAAATATTTTCTAAGATACCTTGGATGTTCTCATTTCACAAAGGATCTCTTTTCTTTACTTATTGTACCCCGTACTTATTAACCCGGTGTAGGTCTTTAAGTTGGGGTTTTATTTACTAAACCTTGACTAATTAGACACGCCTCCTAGGAATTAGGGGGTCCAAAATAGGATTGTAAATAGAGCAATCCAGAAAAAAATCAGCATTTACAATTTTAAAGTGCATTTGATCACCTCCAGTTAAATATTAGACGATATTGAAGTTCAAATCTATCCGGAACCTATAAGAAAATGCCTGCAATGGGAATTGATATGCACAAATCTCAGTTACTTACAAATTTAAATGGTCTTCATTGCCTTCAAATTTGCTTTCTGTATATTTTTTTGCATCCGTGTATCGTAGAGTAAAAAATATGAAAGGGGGGAGGGGGTGTAAATAGCTTACCTCACGACATAGGTCAAGGCTTATCCTTTTTCTTGTCATGCACAGTTTATACTTTTTTCCAACGCATGATTATATGATTCAAGTGACTAGTGTCTATGTAGGATTATTAACGTTTGTTCTCAGTCGACCCACATTGCATCTCGTCCTAAATATGCATGACATATTTGCAAATGGACGTTTAAGGAGAAATCAATCATTCAGAGGCATCGGATTTAACGTCTTCATTTCAACCGCATTTGGCTGCGTATTTATACATTCCGCACAGACAAACGGATGACCCATTTTAGCAAGGATTTACTGTTGTTCAAGAGAAGTCATGGGCTGACAAATGTGGAAAGGTTGGTAGCGCTAATTGACAAAAATGGGACCGATTTATCATAGCAAGTGTTTGAAGCCCAGTAATAGCGTCATATTTTAATTGCTCAACAAGAAGATATACTAGCCGTTTCATTTCATTTTGCTAGTAAAACGTTAACTTCAGCTTTTCCTTACTCATTTGTCTTTTCCATTTATTATTTGTTTGGAAAACGTAGTCTACAATCTTATAAATGGCTCATTGAGGTGGATAGATGAAGTAACTATCTAGAAAGATTTTATAAAACAGT